AACTAGTGCTTTTCAGCCGCCGTATCTTCACTCTGAGATAAGCAGTCTTCTTCACAATGTATTTTTAATATCCTCACGCTCAATTTTAAGACAAAGCAATTTTAATACTAGGTGCACACCACATGCCCTCGTTGCAAACTGCTTTTCTTGACAAGTTATGAAGTAGTTCAAGGAGGTATGGTTAAGGCTGTATTACTGAATGGTGCTGGTAAATACTACACAATTTTTTGTCCCGTTGCAACCTTTGTTTCCCATTTAGTGACTGCTGCTATAGGATCAGATAGCAACAATGGCAACATTATTAGGTTTGTTTTTTTAAACTATGATTTAGTAGCAACTGAGGTTCCCAATTTTAACCCCTTGGCAACAAGTTCCAAGTTCCCTCATTTGCACATTAGCACCTAAGTGTCAAGGGGTTAAATAACCAGCACAAAAGATACTGCACTTCTGATTGTAGCTCTTTGGCAGAACTGAAAGCTACATGTTGAAGGGATTGTGGGCAACAGAAAGAAGACACCAGGAGAAGATAAAATGTCACATGAAGTCTTCATAGTCTTGTACATATCCTCCATCATAACCTCCATAATCTGCCAGATTGTCTTTCATCGTGACCTTTAATCCCCTTCCAGGAACCACACCTTTCTTCTTCTTTTTGGCTTTGCTTTGCTTTTCTTGCTTCTGTTGTTCACTACAAAGCACAGTCAATGAATTGATAATCTTTTTCAAGTCATCAATTTCCAATGAAATGCACACATCTCGATCTAAGGCTTCCAAAAAACTGGCATAATATAGTGACTTTTCATATTGTGTAATTTTATCTTTTAGTAACTTTCCAAATTCTGTGAAGTCATCTCTTGAAGATGGGTTCATAGCATCTATGCCATAAACTGTATTAGTAACACCGAAAGTTTCTTTTGCTAATTCAAGGTCTGCTTCTTCCTGTAATTTCTTTAGCCACAGTTTATCTGCTAATTGTTCTTCTGGTGTTAGCACTTTAAGCTCTTCAGGTTCTTCTAACCTCTTTAATTTCTTCTTGCCTTTTCTTCTGTTGCCGTTCGTTCTCTTTTATCTTCGCTGTTATTTTTTTCTTTTATGAAATCTTGACTTCTGGTTTTTCTTCTACCTCCTCTTTTTTTGCCTCCTCACCATCATCCCAGTTATCCTTGACGTCCTCGTCCTCGTCTCCGCCTTCCCAGCGGTCTCGCCCGCGGTGATGCCGCCGCCGCCGCCCCCCACCTTTCGCACTGGGTCTTCCACGGAGAATGTGTCCGCATCCCAGGAGTCGGAGTCCCCCGCCACTGTCGCTGCCGCCGCCGCTATCTCGATCCGGGTGTGAGCGT